TAATTTGAATTATAACGCAGTTTTAATTGACAAGACAAGCAACAATAGCTTAAAGTCAACATTTATAAAAACACAGGAAACCCTTAATGCTACTAGATATTTAACACAACAAGATATTCAAACGCCATCACACTTTGTGAACGAGGAAATAGTTGAAACACTACTACACTAGCTACAACAACACAACAAAGTATCTCACCTATTCATCCAACACTTACAACAGCACATAACAAAAATAAAATTCCTTTCCCACCAACGACCTTGCAATCAACAGTCAAACCATCCGTCAACAGTCAAACCAACCGTAACGGATCGGAGATAATTTTCGGAATCAGAATCCATAACAGCATGATCTATAAAAGGCAAACGCAGAATGAGACATTCATATCTTCATAAGCCAGTAAGACTATAATTGAAATCAACCAATAAGACATATTGAAATTTACACATTAACTGCAATTCTACACAAAAAATGATTTGATACAATGATAGGTTTGAAAATCAACTTTTTTTGTCATTATTCCACTAAAACTATTCCACTAGAAAAACTTTGCCACAACCTAATCGTTAATTCAATTCAAAAAGGAAACAGCCCATGTAAACATGAATTTCCTGAAAAAAGAAAAGACAAGTACTCGATACCTATCTACCAGGCATCATTGTTATCACTTCACATTACGGCTCATACCGAATACATAGAATGATGAAGAATTAGAATTCTCAGAAGTTTTCACTGAATATACCAAGAAAATTCAATGTCAAAACTCTCAAAGAGCAATTTCCTTCACAAATTTTGTTTTTTCTATCTTCGTGATGCACTCACTGACAACGATATATCACAAATAGTTTAAATTGAACTACAAAATTTCTAGCATGGTTCATTATAGATTATTTCAACACAATTTAGATCTAATTTCACAGGAGAAAAATGTTTTCGGCAACAAACAAACGATGAAACAATATTAGCAGAAGAAACAGATTGTGCATGGGACCCTGAATGTTCTCATGTGTTATTTTTTTAACAATCCAAATGACATTTCAAATGCAGCAATTACATTCGTTTCCGTACACAGAAAAAATTTAGGAAATACTCCACTCACAACTGACACCACGAATTTAAATTATAACGCAATTTTAAATGACAAGGCAAGCAACAATTGCTTAAAGTCACCATTTATAAAAACACAGGAAACCCTTAATGCTAAGAGATATTTAACACAACAAGATATTCAAACGCCATCTCACTTTGTGAATGAGGAAATAGTTGAAACACTACTACACTACCTACAAAAACACAACAAAGTATCTCACCTATTCATCCAACACTTACAACAGCACATAACAAAAATAAAATTCCTTTCCCACCAACGACCTTGCAATCAACAGTCAAACCATCCGTCGCTCTGAAACATTCACAGATGGATTATCAAACAAATAGACCATTAAGCAAAAAACGACAACCTAACAAACAAAAACGAAGCAAAAATTTGGTTTGCTTTTTTCGCTAATAATATTATTAGTAATCCAAAAGCAAGACCACTTTACACAACAAAAAACCATTCTCATGAACATAATTATACCCAACAAATACAAAAACTAGTACCTCAATCAGTCTTTTTTAATGATGAACGAAAAACTTCGACAGAACGCACTGAAAATTACCCGTTTTTCCGACAAAATAAAAACCTCTTTTATGGCGTTTTATAAGAAGCCACCAGCTTATTCTGAAGATAAAGATTATTTCCATCAAAGTCAACAACAAGATAAACATAACAATCAGTGAAAAGTCACTGGAAAATATAAATCAACCAGATGACTTTCTTCAAACAGGTTTTTTCGAACCTTTTATAAACTCTCAACAACTAAGGCAAATGCATCATCAACATCCTCAGCGACAAAATTTGCCACCACCTAATCATAATCTACCATCACAAAACCATACGAATACTCAAGGTTACCAACCCGAATCGATGAGAAACGAAATCCCATTTACTTGTTAATTACAACAACATGAAAAAACGAAAAATAAGCTGACAAGTTTTACACAAATACCAAACAGAGCAGATTCACTCCAAATGACAATGAACCCCTTCTTTATGGTTGCATTTTCTATATCATCTATTAAACCAATTATGGTATTCACAGTAACAGACCCTGAAAACTCAGTAGAAGACTACTTAAATGCTGTCACAGCAAATCTAATTTTAAACATAGGTCCAGAACGAATAAACACACCACTTCATCAAAATTGGATACATAGACGCTCAGCTCTTTTACAAAACATACTCAAAATTGGCACAGCTCAAAAACGGTTTTCAGTTTTACCCATTGACACTAAATGAGATTTGAAACGATTTACACAAAAATTTTCAAAAATATTCGATTCTGAACAAAATAAACGACTGTTCAATTCTGAACGAAATTCATCGACTTCCGAATGTAACAATGAAACAACTTGCGGTATGAAACAAAACCCTAGTACAAACAGCTTATTCTCTCAATACACATGATTACAAAATTACGAAAATGACATAAATCCTATGATGACTTAATTACGATAAACCACAATTACGAAAAACTGCAAAAAAAAGAGAGCATCACATCCATCATCATATTGGGTACCGGATATATTTTTTCCGAAAACAAATAGACAAAAAAGAACAAGCTGAAAACACAATGAAACTGGAGAAAACAGCAAATTTAAAGCTACAATACGTAAACAGTAATCAAACAACAACTCCACATATTAACAATATTCGAGAATCTGACAAGATTTCAGCAAAAAAATTACTCAAATCCTAAACATTAAGGAAAATAACACAATTTTTAAAGGCAAACCAACATCCACAAAATGATGTAACTACTGCCGCAGATTTGGAAATAGCACCGCTGAATGCATACAAAAACAACAAGATCATTAAACGGACCACCAAAGTACAAATAACCAAACAAATCGTTTTATCAAAACATGAAAAAAGATCAGAGTTAATCGAATAAAAATTTTCAGAGTAATATTAGCTCAGAAAAACTACTACCAAATAGCTACAGTGTTAACAGATCACGCTCGACTTATTCTAATAATGTTCGCTGAAGATCATCAGACCGACGAAATTCACAAATCTATCCATGAAATACATTAGCAGATCAAATTGTCAAGACAATCAGTATAGAAATGATTACTATAGATCAAATTCAAGCATTTGATTCAAGTTTACGTAAGAGTAATCACCGTTTTCCCAATGGAGACCGAGTAAATAATTTCTTAACCAGTTGCAAGCTGTTTGTTCGAGCTTTAGTAGTATATTGAAATTAACTGGAGGTGAAAAATGAGTCCTTCGCTGTAAGCTGAAATTTATATTGCTAGTTCTTAAACCATGAAGGCATTTTTCTTGTAACGAAAGCCTTCCACATCAATCACAACTGATCTCTCGCTTAGCATTCTAGTAAATTATAAATTTTTGGTATTTTCAACTTAACGAAAAGGCAGAAAGCTATTCCACTCAAACGTCCCAATAAGCTGTTGTTACAGTTCCAGGGCGACATGTAACAGTACCTGGAACCCTTTTGAGAAAACTCGTGTATAAATCCGGCCGCATTGTGCGTGCAATCGTAAAATCTTGGAAGAGCTATTAATACCAATCAAGCCACCATAAGGTCTCAATTTGATTAAAATGTCGTAGTTAAGATTATCAGAACTAACAAAAAACAGAAAAAAGAAGAAAGTTTCGTCGGTGATACTTATCAGGATAAGATTGTTTCAAAAACGTATAAATTTCGTGAGTTTTTTTCAAGTCAATAGGAAACACTGCTTTTTTTGCAATTCCATTGTATACTTTTTCCAACACACCTCTCCAACCTGCTAAATTTAAAGCCAGTGGCAGAGTAAAAGTGACCTTCCAGATACCATTTAGAGCCACTAAGATATCGGTGGTAAATAATCAAAATAAACCACAGGAATTTTTTTGTATTTTGATAGCTTGTTGAAACGTAGACGGATGTTTCTCTTCAAGTCTTTATCAGCCCATTTTGAGTTAAAATCAAACACGTATTCGAATACGTTTTCATAATCAGCAAAAATTAGTACCAAAAATCGCTCACAGTACCACATTTTTGTTTTGTACAAATGCACCAAAAGATTTGTTGAAGCTCACTCACATAAACTTTTTCTTTGAAATTTAACTTGTTGTCTTTCTTTCAAGTTTCTTTTGCCCTCTCAAGAAACACGACGTAGCGTTCAAAAAAGAGTTTGAAAAACAAATTTTTTCCGTGGTTGAAAGCATTCTCAATTGTAAATGTTAATTATCAATATCTTCAGTACACCAAGTTTTTTCTTATCTCAAAATTTGACAAATTTACCATTTGCCCAGAATCCACCGCCACTTTTGGAGAAAGATTTCAATTTACTGCCTTTTCACAAAAAAATATAGCACAAGTTGCGGAAATAGTTTACTGCTGCCAACAATTAAGCTACGCTGCCGAAATCGCCGGCGAATGTTTATTATGTACCAAAAATGTCAATTCCCTTTTCACTAACAAATTTCAATTAGGTCGAAAGTTCATTCGCCCGAAACAAATATAACAATTAACATGATTCACATAATTAACTAGAACCAATAATTATGACCCCAAAAATTGGAATTAGAAAGAAAATTGTATCGTGTCCCTTGTTGTTAAGCTAAGGTTAGCAAGATCTTAAGTAGGGGGTCTTCTGCTTTTTGGGTGAAAAATTTCTTTCGTTTACAAAAACCTAGGATGAGGGTCCTCCAAAAAAATAAGGACCCTTTCCTAGGATTTTGCTTCACGTGAGAACCCCCCGCAGGAAGGACCCTCCTTAGGATCCGGGATAAGATACTATACAACAGATATCTTTGTACGAGAATTGTTAAGTGCAGGAACAGTTTGTATGCGGGTTCCACTAAAGGGGAATTTTATTGATAGGTATGTCTTAAGCAGAAGTTCGGAAAGTGCGCTAGAGTGATATGTTATGAAACGTTTTTTCGTTACTGCATTAACTGTCGCTTGAAAGCTGCGACTCGTTCTTTCTTGACAATATCAATGTAGAACTCTATAGGTCTTTTCGGAATTGCCACTTGATGGGTTTTGGTCTCCTCGCGAGACCTCTCGTGGTAAATGGTCTCTTGGTCTGTGTAGTTTTCCATAACCACATATGTTTTCTTTTGCCCCAGCATTTTTCCCATGCCGCCTGCCCATTTATCCTTCACAACCGGTCGCTGTTTAGTGACATTTCTAACTTCTGCTTCCATATAAGGAACCTGGATTGTGTAGTTTTTCGTTTCGTACTGTGTGGCTTCGGCGTCTCGTCTTCGATTTGCTTCGGCGTTTATGTCGTTTTTCAGCGCCTGGAGATTTGTCAGCTCGTACTTTTTCACAGCTCTAATTTTAGTTAACAAACTCTCAATTTGAAGTGTGAGTTTTTTAGGATCCAGGCTTTTCCAGACCCCTGAATCCGGTTCAACGTGACTGTTTTCCCAGAAAACAGCGGGTACTTTCAGATCGGAGCAAATCTGTAGTAGGTTTCGTGTCCTGCCTTCGCTTTGAGGTTCCTTTGTCAAGACGACAACGCACGACTGTGTCACTTGAGGTCCGAATGTTTGAGTCAGTGTTGCCAAGTTCCGTCGCATTGTTATCGCTTCACCTATGAGAAAATGATCTCGAACTTACATATAATAACGGTCTGTGAGAGCTTCGACGCCATTGGGTGGGATCCCGAGAAAAATATTCAAATCGGTTTTAATGTATTTTCTAAAAAATTATTATTGAAATTAATTGGTATAAAAAGTAGCAAAGAGTTGGAACAGACAAAGTTTATGAAAAAGTGCAATCCGCCACTTTTGAAAAAAACTTTTATGTGGCTAAGAATTTTTAGGCAACCGTTAGATATAGAATATGTTAAAAATCTAGCTTTTGCATGTAATTTGTGTTTTGAAATAAGTCAATTGCTTTATTCAATTTATTTTGTATGCTTCAATTTTTTGCAATTCTCTATTTCTGTTTGTTTCTAATTTTTTATGCAATCGATAAATATCTCAAAAAATTTTGAGCGAATTTTCAAAAAAAGGCAAACAAAAGCCAGCGAATGTTTAAAACATAAACTTTTTCACACCACTAAAAAAACTTGTCAAATACCGCAAAAAAAGTTGATAAAAGATTGAAAAACTCATTTTACACCACTAAAGAACAAGTCAAACATCTTCAAAAAATTCGTTGAAAATTTGGAAAACGTTTTTTCAACCCTTAAAAAGAACTTGTCAAGAATCTAAAAAAAAAACTGAAAAACATAGAAAAACGTTTTTACGCCACTAAAGAACATGCCAAAAACATCTCAAAAAACCAATAAAGAGTTGAAAACTATTTTTACACCACTAAAGAACATGTCAAACGCAGGATTGTTGTTCCTAATAAACTTTTGGAAAAAATGAGTGTAGAATGTTTCAACTTGGGACTTGCATGCATTACGTCAAGTAAGGCTAATAGTAAGCTGAGCGTAAGATTTATTAGTCATTAATTAAGTAGCACAGCAAACAAATGGTCGAGCTCAAAATAGTTCAAGTTTGGAAGCATTAGTCACCCTTATGCCAGAAAATAAATTTTGACGAAATCGGCAAACCCCCCCCCCCCCCCCTAAAAAAATCGGACCTAAGGAAGCTAATGTTATGGAATTCAAAGTAGCGATTCTTGAGATATTTTGACCCAGGCATACGAAAAACGGAAACCCTCAGCCCTTAGAGGGGCAAGTGCTAACGGTTCTTAGAAGTGTAAATGGCTCTATCAGAACGCGGAAACTAGCGCCGTATTGGGCTCGAGTTTGAATATGTTGTAAGCCTAGTTAAAAGAGCTTAAGTTTGGAACCTCAGAACTCTAGACCCGCACTTCCGGTTTTATGCCCTAAGTAAACAACCCACTCCTATATTCCGGAAGTCGTTTCTCGGCCTACAATGAACGCAGAGAGCTGAAACTTAGAGGGATGATAAAAAGTGACAAGGTCCATCTTGTGATATAGTTTGAGCTATTTTCAACGGTTGGATCGAGAGCTAGTAGCACTTAAAAAAAATTCTCTCTAAATCGGAAATAGGCAACTTACGCAAAATATTGAGAGAGCGCATACTGCGTTTATTGCGGCAATAGACATAAGATACGAACCACGAAAAAAGACCCCTTGTGAGTGAAACCCCTCTGATAACTCCTTCCTTTGTTAAAAGCCAGTTCCCGGGAAAATGTGATAATGGCTTAACATGTGAAGTATAAATGAGATATGGTTGGAACTCGGTTCTTAGGAACCCCATAGGATACTTAACCCAAATATGGAAACTTGAACCCGAGTGACCGACCCTTGAGTGACCTTAAGATGACCTTTGACTCCGAGACCATCACCGGATAATAGCGTATTTGCCAGCCCAACCCCTAGAATTATGAACCGGTCACCTTACCAATAACTGAAGGAAACTTGTATTTTGGGACCTGAGCCAGAAATAGATCAGATATAGTTTTACATTACAACCTTGGAGTACCAGAACTAATTCGAAGTGGACGTGGTAAATATTGGGTTAAGTTTAGCTTGGCAAATAATCTATTAATAGCAGTTCAACTAGACTAAAGAAAAGTAATCCCAGAGAAAAAAGATAATTATAGGACCGCGGCACAAGAATTCAATCTCCTAAAAAATGAACGGACAGGGAATTAATTTGGCTCCCCGGAGGTGACTTTTTGGTCTAATTTTTCCCCTAATATACGAACTACGTTCCTCTGATAGCTAGAAGATCGAGAATGGAATAGAGTAGAGATAAAGTTGTTAGATACCCAAAATGATTTCGCTACCAATGAAAATGATCTCCCCCTACCTTCGGGAGGTCAGAACGTTGAAGGGTAATTAAATAAAGACCTTGAGAGGATCATTGAATAAACATAGCATGGTTTGGGGGTTGAGTTCAACTCGAGGGCTGAAGTCTTCGAGGTCAAAAATTATTTGACAAGAATCGTGTGAAATTTGTTTGCTCGGTAAAAGTGTGACACCTACCGCGTACCGGGTATCTAATAAGAGTGAAAATATTGATGAAAGAAACCGAACTTGACACGTGGCGCTGTTGACAGTGGAAGGGACGTCGTCATGAAATATGTGCGGACGGATGGTTTAAGCGGATGCCAGGACTGATAGGGAATGGCGTGACTTAACTTAAACTAAGTGTAAATAAAGAGAGGAAATTGGAGGGCACCGGAGAGCCTTTAAGGGTCAGAGCAATTGATACTGAGATAGTGTATAGTTGGTTCCCAGTTAGTTAGAGAGAACAATTATTGCTAGTTAACCAAGTAATTGGTTCTCGGAGTAACAGAACAATTATAGCAGAGACACTAGATAGTTGGCTCTCATCAGAGTGAGAACAGTGGTTCTTGAAGCTAGCGAGATCAGTTAAAGAAACATTCGAAAAAAAGGTATCCGTAGATACACTATTAATTTAGCGGCCAAACTGTGTTTTTGCGTGGAATTACTGTGCGTTGATTAGGTAGGATTCTCTAGAGAGAGAGAGAGAGAGAGAGAGAGAGAGAGAGAAGTGTTTAGTGGAGTCAGTTGGAAGTCAAATTGTAATTAGACAACTGTGCTGGTAAATCGCGGACATTTTCCTTTTGATTCGTTTATTAGATTATATTCTGGCTACTCAGAGACTTCTGTTATTAGACGCTTATCAATTTAAATTTAATTACATTTGGAAATTCTTGCGATTGTATCAGAGTGAGAACAGTGATACTTGAAGCTGGCGAGGTCAGTTAAAGTACCTCAAAGGAATCGTGATCCGTAGAGACACTATTAATTTAGCAGGCCAAACTGAGTATTTGCGTGGAATTACTGTGCGTTGATCAGATAGGATTCTCTAGAGAGAGAGAGAGAGAGAGAGAGAGAGAGAGAGAGAATGAGAGAATTGCTTAGTGGAGTCAGTTGGAAGTCAAATTGTAATTAGACAACTGTGCTGATAAATCGCGGACATTTTCCTTTTGATTCGTTTATTAGATTATATTCTGGCTACTCAGAGACTTCTGTTAATAGACGCTTATCCATTTAAATTTAATTACATTTGGAATTTCTTGCGATTGTATTAGAGTGAGAACAGTGATTCTTCAAGCTAGCGAGATCAGTTAAAGTAACTCAGAGGAATAGTGATCCGTAGAGACACTATTAATTTAGCAGACCAAACTGAGTATTTGCGTGGAATTACTGTGCGTTGATTAGATAGGATTCTCTAGAGAGAGAGAGAGAGAGAGAGAGAGAGAGAGAGAGAGAGAGAGGGTTGCTTAGTGGAGTCAGTTGGAAGTCAACTGTGAACTGTGCTGATAAATTGCGGACACTTTCCTTTTGATTTGTTTGTTTGAATATATTCTGACTACTCAGAGACTTCTGTTATTAGACGTTTATTCATCTAAATTTAATTACAATACGAAATTCTTGCGATTGTATTGAGTAGATAAGACAGCCTGAAGAGCAGTAGTACACAAGAAGGGGTCAAGCAACATAAAACAGTTCAGAACAGTTGCCACCAACTTAAACTTTTCGGGATTGTATATCTTACTGCATCTCGGTTGCCCCGCTGAATTCACTACCCAGGGGACCACTTTGAGGTGTCTTTAAGAAAGAGAGAACAAACCTAGAAAAGCAATCCCCTAAATCTACAGCAAACATATGAAAGAAATTCAAAAAAAGCTTATAAAACTTTTTTCACCACTTAAGAACATGTCAAAAATCTCGAAAAGAATTCCATAAAACAATTTAAAAAAAATTACGCCTCTGAAGAACATGTCACACATCTCAAAACTTTAATGAAATGTTGAAAAAATTTTGTACACTACTAAAGTCATTTCAAACATACTTCGGAGGCTTTCGAAGACAAGGAAAGCATCCACAGCAGTGGTGAGTGAAGTGCTGAGATGGTACTCCAACTTGGTCCTGATCTCCTTGTTTGACAGTCGCAACCTGGAGTCATTCATGCCCGGAGTGTCATATATATTCAGCTTCTTCCCTCCGCTCAATTGCGTCGTACATTCCGACACTTCTGAACATCACCACCCTCAATGTTTTCAGGTATAATAACCGATTATAATCGGTTTTCGTGGTGAAAAATGAAGCCATTATAATCAATTATAATTACACTTTGCCTCCGCGCACTCAGTTATTATCCGTTAGAATCCATTTTTTACAGAAACTAAATCGATTTTAACCCATTTAAAATCCCGTTTAAGATCGAATTACGGGCAATCGTCAAAGAATTCCATCTAATCTTAGTAGGATTTTATGAAAAAAGTGTTTTTGTTTGCAAAAGTTTTGGCTTAAAGCTGGGGCAAAGTTTTTTGTACACGTCTTCATTTAAAATGTCAAATATGTTGCGTTTCTGGTTTGATTGTTTATTTGATGCTGCACTTTTTTTATCGAGAGTCCTTCCAAACAACCAACTCACCAGCAGTCGTGGACTCTCCGTTGTCGCCACCAACTCGTTTCCAATCACGCCTGTTGACAATCGTGTTCACGAACGAGGTCTTGCCAACCCTCGTGTCTCCGATCAACATCACGTTCAATTCCATCATTCAGCTTTTTTCCTTTTTTTCAGTTCTCCCGCAAAGTTAGAATGCAAAATTTAGTTTAATTTTTTTTATTGAAAACAGAAACAATTATGCTTTTTTGTGCGGTGTTGCTTTTTATAATTTATTTTGTTTTTGGTATTCAGCCTCTGCAACTGTTTTTGTAGCAACGAGACGCAAAATTAACAGAATTTACTACCAAAAATGGAAAGAAAAGTAAAATGCAGGCGTTCACTTCTATGACGGAAAAAAATATTGCAATATTTGTGTGAACATCATTGCAACTGAGTGCTCTAAGGACATTTTAAATTTATAGTCCAAATGTGACGTCAAACGATATTTTCAAAGAGGTGTGTGATAACCGAACGATCATTAAAAAAATCTAGTATTTCATGTTCTTTTAGTTTCCAATTTTTTTCTGCTTAGTTATCAAGTAACCGTTTTAGTTTCGATGGCTTAAAAGCTCTATGATGCATTTTTTGAATGATTGTAAAGTTTCCGGTCTTTTGTTCAGACATTTCGCTAAATAAAAATGGATTGACGTCAAAAATGAACTGCAAATACATTATGTCGCAATACTAATTCAGCATGGATCTTCAATTATATAGAGCAAACAAGGAAGTTTTGACCACAACAATTAAGGAAAAGAAAATGAGCAAATAAAATATTGAGCAGAAACCAAAAAAAATGTTCTTTTCATTAAATTATCTGTCATTTTATTTTTAGTTACAGACGATTAGATTATATTAATTTCTACCAAGAAAAAAGCTATGATTGGCACAAGGAGCAATGAAATTAGCTAGTTTCACACCAAAACTATAAATTAAACTGAGAGCTCAAAGCCTCATCGTGCCTTTCGATGACGTCAGTAGTAGATGTTGGATCTAAAAAGGGGGGCGGACCCCATGTATTGAGATACCTTATAGAATTCCGTTCCGCGATGCTGTGTATTAACATTGGATATAGGGTCTACAATATATTAAGATAGGTAAGAGCATTGGCAAGGTTTCAGTGTGATGGTAAAAGATGGTAAGAAATACGATATGCTTTTTAAAATTTTGTGTAGTAATGTCTAGTTTTTTCGCATAAATTTTGGCGCGGGTTATCTATTTGGTAAATTTCAATAGTGTATTACGTGTAGATTGTAGGCTGAAGGTAATATATTCTGTTTTTCGTTCATGGTAAGTCAATGGTAGGAGTTTTTGGGCAAAATTGAGATTTTTTAGAAAATTTGAAATTTTTTCATAAAAACTCCAAAACACGATAAGATTTGACATGATTTGACATATTAAATATTTTATTAGTTCATCTTACTCTTTAAAATAGCACTCTATAGCACTCTATGAAATTATGCTGATACCTACTAAAACTTCGAAAAATTCAGTTTTTGAGAAAAAAAATTAATTTAATAAGATATTATTTAAATCACTACATCGTATAGTAAATTTACAGCAAGAAATTACCCATACAATTAAAAAACTACAAATTAACATAAAATTACAAATAAAACTAAAAACTTGCACATCGCGAAAATGATTCAAGTTTCTCTGGTAAAATGTAACAAAAATAAATGCTGAATAAACTGTGTAAAATCCTTACAAGTTATCAGTTTTTTTTTGCAAATTCCGCTAATACTTTTTTATCAGAGAGAAAAAAGTTGTTTTTTTTTACCAAAAGAATCAGCCAAGTAGTAAATTTGGTCCAGTTGAGCTATCATGAATCAGTGTTCTCCTCTATCATTGCTTGGAGTTGATGATTGCAAAAGATTATTTTGTTAATTGAGGTAGTTTATCAGAGGGGTAAGATCCCATGTACTTGAACCTGAGCTCAGAAATTTTTTCAAAAATTTGTATGAACGAAAAATGAAACTGATTAATCGATTGTGCAAATTAAGATAAGAAAATTAAGAATAAACACTTACATGCACAAGGTATTGAATCAACAAAGTCTATACACAAGTCTTATGAACTTCTCGTGTTTTCAATTAAACAGCCTTAAATGTCTTTTTTTCTGGAGATATAGGTCTGAAGAAAAAAAATTATAAAGTACAGATACAACAACAATGAAATGTCCCTAGAAAATTTAAAATATTTTTTGAGGAACCTTAAAACTCAAAAATAGAAACATTTTTAGCGACTGTTCCGAATTTGTCAATTTGAACACTTGATAGTCTTTCTCTTAAGAATATCACTTCCGTTACTTGCTCCAAGGGAAAACGAAAAAACATTTCCGATATCAAGCTTTCTCCACTCGGTTCTGGTTAATGCAACTGTTCAGCTACATCCTGTAGTAAGGACAAGTCAAAAACAAGAAATTAGTGACTTTGAAATACCTCCATAGGAAGAGCTGGAACATTTTCGTTAAATTGCATTGTTTTCATTGTTGTACAAAGGGGTGACAAGGAGAAGTTGTGTCTATTGGCACAATTGCTCTTGCGCCCCGATTAGTTCGAATCTCTCTCAATTGAAAATGTTAATATTTGAAAGGATTTTTATGAAATATGCGGTTACAGCTGAATCTGGGTTCATTGCAACTGCTATTCTCTCTTTGGAGCGTTATTGAATATAATTTTCTGTATGAGTTGGTTTTGACGAGGTTGAATGATAAAGGTTCTTACTACAGTTTCCATTTAATTGTTTTGAGCAGGTTCTCTTTCCAGATTCCATTGCAAGTAATAATGATTAGGTTCACCAACGGAAATTTTTCTAGTAATTTAGCAAACAATCAACAATTTTCAGACTGAAATTTGGATAATCAGATGGCATGTAAAAATTAGGACTAGCTCGAATTACTTTATTTCGAACTTTGGTATTTGGTAGTAACAATGTTTTGCAAGAACATAAATCAAGGGCGAGCCTCCCATAGAGTGAAAAAGTTATCACTGCTTCAAAGGAACTTGCTCTATCAGTGAGCGGATGCATATCAAATGCATCAGGAATATCTTCAAAATTGTCTTCATGACAAGCAAGTATTCCTTTATCACTCACGGTCGACGAGTTGAATTCGTTCGGTGTTGGTGCCTTATGAGGATATAATCCATTGGCGTTGTAAGCCACTGTATTGTTAAAAATTCTTCACAATTGGAAAAAAGAGACAGCAAGAGAATGTTTACATAAGTTAAGTAAGGTTTTGGTTGCTGATCTGAGTCATCCTTGGATTTTGCTTTATGTTCTGTTTTTTCTCTCTTGAAAGCATCAAACTACCTTTTCTTGAATATTTGAAGCTTTAAATTAAGTAGGGTATCACGCATATCTAAGTAGAGATTACGATTAGTTTCAAATTCAAATTCAAACTCAAAACTGCTTTCATCTTGATAAGTACTGGGGAACCCTTCTTGTGAGTAAGATGCCATAATCGTTTCCAAAACTGGGACTTTATCAAAACTCCAACGAAGAGTTTGTAAAACTCCATACAGAAATTGAATGACCACTTTGATTTATACTCATTTTTTTTTTGTAAAAATGTCTTAGCGAGAGCGACTGGTTTTATATCTATTTTTCGAGTAATCAGGTTCTTTTTGTTCCACGCTTGGATTTTTTTTCCACCTTCCAATTGTTTCCAAACTATTTTTGTTCCCGCATCTTTTGCACATGTTTTGAGTTTTTTGCGCCCTCTAACAACTTCCCCAATCTCTGGAGCAGCGACTTCGAACAAATCTACTCAAATTCTTGTTACAGCTGTGACTATTTATTTTTTAAAGAAGGGGATTGCAGTTCTCTCAAAAGTTTGCGCAAGAGCACCAAAACTTTTTCCACGTTGTCTTCCATGTCCTCGAAAATGGGAAAATCAGCTAAAGTTTGAGCAACGATTTTGTATGGACTATAAATCGAAAATGACTAATCGAAATCTTGCAGAGCAAGAGAATAACTTGTGTAATTCCTACGGAAAAAAGCTAGATTTTTTCGCCTATACAATCTCTTAGTTCTATCTTGATACCATGGGATAAAAAATTTTAAACTTGTAAATGGTTGATAATTCATGTACTGTCCTGTAGATATGTTGTCTCTAGTTTTTTATATAAGAGATAAAAAAAATTTTGTATAACCGACGTTTTTATATTCTTTGATATCACTATACGTCATCAAAGAATGTCTTCTTAAAATGTCGTAAAAATAGTGAGGCTAATATGGTCATTTTACATTCATTATAAATCCTGTTTGATTTTATGCTAATTTACAATCAAAAATGTGACTCAAATCAAAACTTTGAATAAAAAACACTGATTGATCCTCAGGTAAATAAACGGCTATCTTATGTGTAGTTTTATTTTCTTAAACTTGTATTCCGCTTTAATCAAATGCAGGAGCACCTAGACGTTCTCGAATTTTTTTAATCATGGCTAAAACTATAACAACTAAACTTGGATACAATCATGGTTCAATATGCATCGGTTCACTCTTCCTTTTCGCCTCAGAATTTTCTCTGCTACTTACGAATGTAAGCTTTCCCTCAGCAACATTTTTGTACAAAGAAGGGTATGATTTTTCTAAAATAGCAACCTCCCATTTTCCTTTCAAATGTATTTGTCGGCTAGCAAATTTGTAAAGTAACTAATACTGTTATCCGGGTAACAGTTAAACGAAACGTTAGAAACTAGCTCTACAGCAAACGAATCCATGACAATATTTCGATAGAAATTAAAATTAAAAAAATACCTTTAATGTGAACATTTATGTAAAGACTTACCTTTTCAGATTTTGAAAGGGATCCAAATGCCTCTTTTGCTTTGGCCTTCTTCTTGATAAATCAATTTTCGAGAAATCTTTTTTTGAAAACAAGCTAAGTGTCTTTGGCTTATTTTGTTATCAATGTTTGAACTCGCGAAAAAACATCAACAGCAACCAATAAATAAATGACTCCTAATGACAACAATTGATTTGACTCGCTAGTTTGTCCTCGAAAGCCAAGTCCAAACACCAAATTTCATTGATATATTTCGGGCTTCGGAAACGTCTGATTGGAGGACAAAAATTTTTAAATTTAGTTCTACTTTCCTTTTTAATAAACCGCTGGCTTTACCTAAGTTTCGCACAGAACCGTACGCCGCTCTATCCCTAGAACATATGTTGAAACTTACCTTTTCAAATTTTGAAAAGGATCCAAATTCCTCTGTCTTTTGCTTCGGACTTCTTCTTGATAACAAGTTTAGTTGGAATTTGGGTTCCTTCCAAAAAATGTAAAACAAAAATCTGGAAAATCAGTACTTTTTCGCTTTAGTGCATACACAAAGTCTACAATAGATTCTTTTGTATCTCGATTGTCCGATGTGATACTGTGTGACTGACTTAGTTTTGACTCTAGAAGATTTCAAAGTTAGATTAATAAGGTGCTTATTGTTACTCGTTTTCAACCTCGCATTTACAGCACTGTAAGTATAATCAAAGTCTTTTAGTACAATCACCTGTTTTTCTTGCTTTTTTCCCAAATTTTTCAAAATCAGTTCTCCTTTTATGCATTGAAGTTTTTCTTCGTGTGAGTTCTGATATTTTTCTTCGATATTTTATTAGGGCTACTTTTCGGAGATCCTGTAGTTTTCCTCGTGGCAAATTTATTCCTCGTGTAGTTTTTGCATGACAAAATGGGCAGTATTTTTTTCATAATTACTGCTCCAGTTGATTTCATGAAGATGCTTCGTACACGCAGATTGAGATGTTGCTTTGAAATTTTTGAGTGGAAGAAAAGAACAGCCCACAACGCTATAAACTCCAATATATAAACTCCTAATTCTTTCACTATTTTGTTTTCAATACACTCAATATCTAAAACAACCAGATTCATGATATTCACTGTTTAAAATTTTGTTTGAAAAGACTAAAAATCGAACAATGCATACACTGTTGAAGCAAAAATTCAAAGATAAAAACAGAAAAGCAATCTAGTCACATGACCAAGAAATCAAGAACTAGGAAATCTAGGTACAGTATAACAAAAACCAGGGCTCTTATTCGTATTAGACTTCACAGATCCAGCTGCATCATGAAGAACTGAAATAAGTCTGAACGCTTTGGAAACGCAGAAAAAAATAATCCATACAAGAATTTCAGATTCAATTAGACCTCCAAAAGGAAATTTTTAGTCCATTACTTTCCAATTTATGTTCGGGTACAAAACAATACAGGTACAAAGAAAAAAAATATTCTTATTGTAATTGAAATACATTTACCTTAACCAACTAAAAAAAATCTGAGAATTTCATTCAATTTCTGAACGTTCATTTACTTAAGTGCATTCGTCAAAAAAGATACACATTTTTTGAGCGTCTCGACATAAGACAAAACCGAGCAGATAAAAGCAACTGGTTGTTCATACTTCTTTTTTTCTAACTAAAATTTTTGATTGCTTTTCCAAGGGTTTTCTTTCCTACGATATTCTATATGATTCATTTTTTAATATCTGAACAATAGCTTAGAAAA